ACAGCAGCCTCTGAAACCCACTATTAGACTGCTGAATTCAAAAAAAAGTGTAGTAACAATCTAGCTTGGAGAATGTGATCTGAAATTGACTTGATCCCCAGGGAAAAAGCTTGTTGTTTCTAGGTGGTCAGTCGGAAATGTTGTGTAAATAATATTGAAACTACCAAGCTGGTGTTATGGCAGTTTGAAGGGGACCTGAATCCTCTTCGAATCCCGGCAAAACATAAACATTTGCAAATCGGTTTCGTTTAGACAAACCAATTTGCTCCCAGGTAGCCTGCTTTGGGACAGATATGGGCAAATACAATGTTACTGTTGATGCACTGAAGAGGCTAAGGCAAATGAAACTATAACCTGATACTTTACATGCCTCAAAAGTAAATTAAAAATTCTGTGCCTTACCATGGCAATAACCCTAAGCACGTATAACCGTGGACCACAGTGGGTTATCCTCGACACTGAATTGTCAGATTGTTACTGGGTAATTTTTCAATGCACAGAATTTGCTGAGGGAACGCAAGAAGCGCGTCCATAGCCAGACTTAAGGTCCCTCAAACAATCTTTCGCCACAGGGAATCGAGAAGAAACGAAACATAGAACTGTACTTTGCCAAATTATGTTATTCACGCCAAGTATTCCTCAGAAATTTAGGACAACGGACTGTTAAACAATTTTGCTTCACATGGCAAACGTGCTCCTGGCCTACTGCGCTACCCTGAGCACCCGCTAAGATGAAGAAGACCGGAGAGGGCGAGGCGCAGCTGCTTACTGGACAGCTCAAACTAGTTGTGCTTTTGGTGGTGGTACATACAGAGGGGTTATTGAGCAGGCGGTCCCAGTGCTTGACGGGCACGCCGAGAAAAGGGGGACGTGTTTGTGTGAGGCTTCGATGACTGGCTTATTGGGCGTGAATCAACACGATTCACCAAATTTGCAACTATTGCACTTATTAGAGCACATTGGCTGTCAGAAATGAGCTGAGGATGCCTTTACAATGGGATTCGTTGACTCCTGCTTCCGCAGTCCGCCTCTACGCTCACAAATGCGCTGGTTGATTGGCTCATTCAGTTTTTGTCCGCCAGTCTTGCAACATGGAGATGGTGCCTTGATGCTGGTGGTTGTACCATCTCCATAGTTACCGCACAACAGCGTCTTGGGGGAACTTAATTGTAGCCAACAAGCACTTCACATTGCATCTAAAAAGCCACGCTCATCTGCCGTCGCTCAATACCTGCACGATTTTGAAACAGCGACTCCCATTCATGGCATAGACAGTCTGCCAGTCTGTTCAGTTCGGCCGCCCATCCTTAACTTACTAAAAAAGCATTTTTTAATGTTTTTTTCCTGAGGTAGGACTGCCGGTAAATTGTTTCAATTCATAGTCTACTGAAAAAAAATAAAGTAGTAATTACTAGTAATCCGAAAAGCACCAGTAACCAAACTTCTCGATTCCGTTCACACGCAGCTGACAAGAAGCTAATTAACTTTACTGGTCCAAGTGAGTGGCTCCTTATGTCAAATCGGAACCGTAATGACTAAGCATAGCATTTAATATACAAAAATTTAATGGAACGCACAAATTGAATTGTGCGAAGTCACATTTTTGCCACTGTCATTTAAAAACGAGTCACCGAGCACTGGAACATCCAACTTCAATACCTAGCTATTTCCTTTTATGATTCCAATATAAGTTTTTGTGCTATAGCATAAAGTTTTTTTAATAGTTACCGAGGGGTGTTAAAAACATCTACTATACGGCCAATTCTGCTACGCTGAAAATGACGTTCAATGAAAAATTAAAAACTAAAAAATAAAGAAAAACTTAGTGAGTTTATTAAATTTGACTCTGAATGCTTATTAAATTTTTATTAGCAAAAATAGTTTTGTGCACATTAACTTCACAGCTTAAAAACGGGCATAAAAACACTTTACTTTTAAATTATAAGCAGATAAACTTTCATCGAATGTGACTCATGTGTCATTGATGAAGTACATCCCGTGGTTTGTTTACACTTTCCTTCCAGAGGGGTTAAATTCAAGGACGTGGGAGATCGTAGTTTTTCTACATCTTGTATGTGGCTTTCTAAGTGCTCCTTCTTGGTCCTGTCATTCATGTTCCACCGTTCTTAATTACCTTAAAATTTGTTTACGAAGAAGTTCATCAAAGTTGTTTAACATTTCCACTAATCGTTTAGTTTATTGCGTGTCCACACTTTGCAATTGTACTTTATGTCTAACCCTACCACGCGTGGGTGTTTGGAATAATTTGCAAAAACAGCAAATCGATGGACGAGGCCTTGGCAATGCATTTAGGCTGAAATATCATCGTCAAATTAACACCGACACTTGGACAACTTATTTGTTACCACCTTCTTGTAAACCCATGGTAGGAATCAAAAACGGCGAAAAATCAGATCTGGTCCAGTTATTTGGCACTTAAATACGCCACTACGCGTAAAAACAAAAATGTCTGCTACTGAAGAATGCAACTACATTTCAAATTTCTCACAAGATACGTGCAAGCCTAGAAACATAATCAGTGCACAAAACTGAGAAATTTTTAAGCACACTTCTGAGTTTGGATGCATTTACTTAACTGTAATGATGGTGTTCTATTTTGCCAAAAAGTATATAAAACCAAATTCGATAAATTAAACCCATTAATTGTCGAACAGAATCGACCATTTTTAAACCATTTGAAGGAGTGGAAGGTACAGTAAATGATTTTTTAGTTTTTCTGTTAGGGTAATCTTCACTTTGAAATCCATAATCGGACGAAGTAAAATGACCATTGGTTCAGACACCGAAAATAGCTAATAATGTGCTGGTCGGCATTGCGTCAATGCTGCCTGTGTGAGTTGTATGGAATGGTCGGCAGAATTTAAGTGACTTAAATCCGACTAGATGATTTTGTTAACATCTACTAAAGTTAGAAAAAGCGTAATGTGCTGCCAAAACTAGAGCTCCCTAAAAGCCTAATTATGAATCCAGGATTAATCTTGCACAATAATTGTAGAAGGTTGAGGTTAGTTAGGTGCCAGTATCCTGTTCGACTCTTGGGCAACACTGAAATGGAAACGGCTTGCGAAATGATTAAAATCCTTGCCATTTTTGCTGTTAGCACTTGACATCCATTGTTTCGTATTTTAATCAGTTCCACTTCACAGCAAGGCAACTTCGTTCCGACTTACGGGTTTATGAATTAACTTCTTCCATTAATAACCCACAATACTGACTCACCACCGTAAGCGTATAGTCACTCAAGGTAGACTGACACACACTACCAGGGACAAATCAAAGGACATTTTATTTATTTGTAATTTAGATAAACTCACAAAATCTGAAGATTTAAGTGTTAAGACTGTTTAAACCTTATTTACACGACCAAACGCATCAGAAAAGTAATCTGATGAATGTGCAAATATAATACAAAATGAAATACGGCCATCGCCATAGCCGCGCTTCCAAAACCAATCCAGCTGAGTAATTAGAGTTGTGCGTGCATGCAGGGTGCTATTTTATCCGCTTCTAGGAACAGGTAAGGCACATGAGGTGACAATAAAACATGCGTTTAATCGCCACACTTGTGACCTGTACTAATTATTTTCCAAACGAAATCCAGAAATTTGAAAGCCATGCTAAGCAAAAGAGCCCGCAAACTCGAGCATGTCAAATTACTGACAGGCAAGCTTGCTGAGAGCCTGTTTACAATTTGTCCCCACCGAAAAGACGCTATCATGAGCACTCGCTTTGTGACATTATCTGCTCGCATTCGAGTAAGCAAACAACATACTTTGGTGCATAAAATTATCAGAGTTATGGTGCATATCTGTGAATAGAATGACAACTAGTTAAAGCTCAGCCTCGATGTCTAAATCAGGAAAAGTTCTGACAAGACTGTGGGCATCAGTCTTATCGACAGTTTTCCTTTTTTCCAATTAAACATTTGAACGAACGCATCAAATTATCTGAACAAAAGCAGGTTAAAAGTGCTTGAATCCCGAATGCAAGAGCCAAAAGTTTTTGGCAAATTTCACTACTAGTGATAGTGCATTCTTCGAGTTTTTACCTTAAAAGCTGAGTCCATCGACTAGCGCTCACGTTGATATTATCTATTCCCGTTTTTGTTCATGCCGTCCGCTGATATTAACAATTAAGTTTGATCGAATTTAATGAAGTCGAAATCATCTGACGACTAGAATTAAATTCCCCAAGGGTGTTACCTTGGCACATTCTTCGGCTGCAACAAAAAGGAATGGCCTTTTAGTGTGATGCAACATCACAAATTTCTACCATTCAACCGGAAATGCTGCTTACTTCTCTCATAAAATCATGAAATAATGCATTGTTACCATCTTGCACACTACTGAGGGCTTGCAACGACACCACGCAGGAGTTGCTGACGATAAATTAAACCATTTGTATTCCTGATTTTGAATAATAAAGTGCAGCGTTTTCTCTCGGTAAACGCTCGACAGCACATATTTTCAAATTCCTACTGTCAGACACATTTCTCGAGTTCAGCACTAGTACTGGCTGTAATAAAACTTGTCCGAAGAATGTTTATCAAATTGAAAACGAATTCATGCCTTATCGGTCGACACAAACATTAACTATCAATACGTTTTCCCCACGTAATTTAGAAGCCGAATTCAAACAAGAAAGACAGAATGATTTTGAAGTTTTACCAACAAAATCCCTGAAATCCCAAGTTTGGTCAAAAATTATCGCTCCCAAAGATCGAAACCCAGTTATTTTTTTTAAACTGATTTGTGAACAGACCTATGCAAGTCTCCAATTAGTAATTATTGACTGAAACTGATTAAAGTGCTTACGCTACAGCACAGTTGGGTCCCTTTGATGCATCAAAACATCTTTACGAAAGTAATATCACGTTTAGATTACCTTCACAGATCGAATGCAGGAAAAACGAAACGCAATGAGAATTAATAAATTTATTCGACAAAAAGGACAAAGCTGTAAGACCAGTTAGCAGATGTCTACATTTCAAGGAGCTTGTCCAACTCCTCGAGACTCAATTCGCCATCCTTGTTGGTGTCGAATTTCTTGATGAGGCGTTCTACTGTGGCCTCATCCAAAGACGACTTCATCTCGCGCAGCATAACAACGAGCTCCTTGGCGCTCACCTTGCCTGAACCGTCCTTGTCCAGTTCCTTGAACAACTTCTTCACAGACTCATCGAAGTCGTGGCTTCAAAAAGAATACTACGGTTTACGACTGAAGGCAGAACCACTGGCTCATTAGAGTTAGGACGCTATGCAGTTTAGAACCACGGTTACACACACACACACACACACATAAACAGCGTGTTTGTTCAAAAAAGAGGATGCAAGTTTTCCTGAACAAATTAACCCAAGCAACCTTGGAAGGGGACTGTTCTAGTTCCCCTCCAAGCTTAGAAATTACCATCATTGTGACCTCCACCAGTATTTGCGTTTGATTTACATAGATAAATCGCTATTCTGAACGTGGTCTTCATCGCAAAAGCATAAGGCCCTACACTTTCCCACGCGTAGTTTCATTAAGCAACATATTTCTGCACAACATGTAATCTAAATAAACATAGATAGCGGCTTATGCCTGTTGACCATAAAAGCTAGCTTTTAAGGTGCATTCGGTCTTCAGGTTAAGATCAAATGCCTCATCAGCTGGGTGTTGATGTTAAAAGTGTAAAAATCCCAGGACGAACATACCTCTTTTTGGAATCCATCTCTAAAAAGAATGCAAGAAGACAGTACCAACACGCCTGTTGATTTAATGCTATAAGTGACTTATGATGATAATGATGATATAATGATATGATATACGTGATTGAACAAAAAATCCATAGGGTCAAAACATCACTCTAAAAAAGTCAAATTTTGTAGGAACATACAACAAGCAAGTCAGCTTACCCTCAAACTTACATTTGCTATCCGGTTCAGTTAGGGTTTAAATACGCTGATTACCTCGTGACCCATCCCTCCTAACCCTCTCCCTATTGGCTCATAAGGGAATGTCAAACCTGCCCTTCATTCCCTAGGTTAATCCCTATTGGTTTTTGTGTGTGTGCGTGCATCGCTACGCTGATTACTAAGAGTTCCACTAATCAGAATTTTATAACTCTTAGGTACAATTTTCAGGACCAGCAACGTTTAAATCTGGTCGATTTTGTTTCAATCAGTCAATTTTGCATAAGACTGAGTCACAAGTAGAGTAGTTGTGAGGGACTCGGGCTAAGGAGGGCCAGCAATTCGGGTTCATCACTTGCTGTTGGGATACATCGAACAGGGAAGCGGTATATCTGAGTTTTTGCGTCAACAGCATTGAATGTATTACAGGGGTCACCCACTTCTGCTTTGCAACTGGCAAAACAGTTTATTTACCGATCCAAAAATTATAAAGCAGAGTTAAGATCAGCCGCTTTCTTGCACAAGGCTAGTTAATAAGAGCTCCATTGTGTGGATCCCTTAAAAAGGAACTTTTTAAGGGATATTCACTCGCATTGATGAGATTTTCTTATGCACATAATCTGATTTTTATTAGTGGCCACGACCAAACTGACCGCAACTGCCACTGTTTCTTAAACGCCTCCTGCATCGGCCTTTGAACTTTGATTTTTCACCTCTCTTTAACAGCTGTACATTTAATTTAAGCAGTTATTGCCTCTCATTGCCACAGGGAAGAAACGGTCTGTGTGTTCATTTTTCACCATTACCACTGATTGTAACTTTTCTGGGTGCTGAGAAACAACTGCATTGTAAATTAGCCATGATATTTGTAAAATACATTGCAAATATTCTTAGCATTCGACTGTCCGAAATCGCGTAGTGTGTCCTCAAAGTGCATAATTTAGGACAAAATAATGACACCAGAACGTACGCTTTCTCCTGAGTTACGGCAATAAATTAATTAAGAACAATTAGTTTTACTTAGATTAATTAAGTAAAGGTGGTTGTTGGTTGTATATCTCTGTGGTCAAGATTTGACAGGCTGCCCTCATTTGGTCAACCACCGACATAACCTTAAAGACTCACCTTTCTGCTGCTGAATCCGACAAATTGATCAAATATACAAACTAGACTGCTGAAGGGCATTTCTGCGAGTCGTTGTCGACCCCCAGCCTGAGCGAAGCACCCACCTTACTCCTTCTCTTCAGCCAGTTGCAATTCTTGCACTTCCTCAGTTGGTCTTGCGTGGGATACGATACTCAAGCTAGAGGCCCTGGTAATAGGAAGGGGATCTCAAATGCTTGCGTATGGAAGTGCATTAGTATAACTTCGTCACTTATACTAATGCTTAAGCGCGTTTTGACTGACAACTTCAAACTATCCAATTGGGAATTCTTCTGGACGCCGTCCAGCCCAAGATTGGGGCCAACCAGCAACCACAGTTTATCATCCCAGTAATTCGTCTAGGCAGCAAATGCTAGTTTTGTAAGAAAAATTATCTTATCTGCAAAAAGCGCTCACAGGTTTTAGTCATGCTGCACAACAAAGCGACCACTTTTCAACGCTTGTCTCCAACTTCCAAATTCCCTAAAACCGAGACTATCTAGTTATTTATTTTTAGGTACTTCCCACGCATCGTTAATTTGGCTGGCTGAATGAATAAGCATGTCTTAGAGGCTCGGACCTGACACGACAAATACCACTATCCTTAAGTTGCCATTGTGCTACGCTCTAGCCTGCAAACCACCGATGTGCTTTTGAATGCAATTTCGCAAAGTGTGCGACCTCAGAACTGGAACAAATGCTTAATGTACAACGTCAGTAGCAACGTTCCTACATTTGATGCTCTAATGTCGTAAATATGAACGAAAAAATTCAAATTAGTCCCCCTCGTAAAACTCAGACTGGAGTTTTTTGATTTCCTTACTTGAAATCGCGTTTTTTGTGGCAATATTTAAAGAAAACGGAAATACTGTTGGAATACTGAATGTGAGAGGTAGCGCTTAGTCTGACCATTCTCAGGCCAACTAAACGACAGATAATGCATCTCAGGGGGGCCCGATTTGTAGTACTGCAGTTTCCAAGAGACCTGTCAAGTCTGGTGCTGGGGATTAGTTAAGGTTTTTGTTCGAATGACTATAAACGACGTTCAGGACCCCGGGATGGTCTTCTTTTGAGGGACTTCGACGTCTCGTAAACGGCTGTACACCTGTAATTGGCTTTATTCGCCTTCGGCGGTCGATAGGTGAAGAAAAGGCGTCTTTAAGGTCGCTCAATGGGAATGCTGTGGTCTCGATTGCTAGGCAGGTAATTTTAAGCGTCACCCGCGTCCGCCACAACGGAGCATGATGTTAAATCGCACAAAGTTGGTGATTTATGCATATACAATCTTCTGTCAAGCGACTACGCCAGTCAATTCAATGGCCCCTGAATAGGTGGGGAAGCGCATGATGATTAGTCACACCCCATTGGAGTCCTGTGAAGGTGGCCAGCGCATCTCGGGAGCTGCTTGGTTTCCTCGTTTAGTTTCGGAATCGGCATGTTTACTAGATAAAACTACGTAGGCGCGAGAGTGAAGTTTGTTTACAGGCTTATAGGTGGCAATGACTCACCCTTATTTTTCATTGGTCTCTACTGTCAGCCGCCTAGATAAGCACGATGACGCATCCTCATAAAAAGACGCGCCTGGCTGGCTGTCGCCTGGTTTTTTCGTTCTTGGGTCATTAGGGCTTGTTAACAAACAGAGCATTGCAAGGTAGCGCAGAAAACCGCTGCAGATGCGTTCGGTAGGCCAAATGTAGACCATAAAGCCCTGTGGCTGTAAGCAGTTTGTCTTTCATTTGACTGACTTTTTATACAAGACGGTAAAACCAATGCCATTATGGACGTCGGTAGAGTCGGCTGTTCAATTCCTCCATATATTCACGTTCATAAATTACGAGGCTGACATCTATGTCGATTATCTAGGTAATTACACCCCCGGATAAAAATTGTAATTGAGTTCCAGCAGAAATGCTGTTAGGGTCACGTGTGTGCAGCACGGTTCACCTTTCATGCCCATGAAATGGGTTCAGTGGAATCGTACACACGTAAAGGCGATCTCAAAGGTGACTCTGATTTCCCGAAGGCAAGTACGAGATCTCTGGATGGGTATTTTATGTTGGCGAGACGAAACACAATTTACCCAACATTCGAATGAAAAGCAAGCAATCAGCCTTCGATGCCCGTGACATAGCAAACGTCGCCCTTTCTAACGGAATGCAATATTCAGCATCCACAAACGATTTCTTGCTTCAGGTGGAGCTTGTAATTTTTTTTTTTTGATGGTCCTTTTTTCGTTGAGCGTTTTCAGTTGTACACGGATAACTAGGATCTGGAGGCCAATAAACATGTGTTATTAACCTCGAAAATCGTAAGAGTCGTTTCTGTCAACACCGATGTGGCATTTTGGCTGCTCTGCAGTCACCGCGTTTCGTGTGAACAAAATCTTTCCGAATCGACTCAGTTGTAGCCCTCTGCCCCTACAAGAACCTGAAGATTGTTGGTTGTGAAAATACTATGTAAATTAGCTAAAAACTAATACCATTACAGATCCTTTTTAAAGTTAAAAGCATTCACTCAGCATATATTCTCAGTTGAAAATTCTGTCACGCTAATGAATCCATAGTGTTCAAAATGCAGTGTTTAATCCCTCTTAAACCACACTACTCGACGCGTACCCCATTGACAAGATCATTGCGAGTCGTCGTCATTCGCACAAGATCGGCAAGTCTTGGCTCTACGTCGTCCATGAGGGTGCGAAGTAGGCAGCTTCGGCTGACAAAGAGCTGTCAGCTGTCAACTCGTGAGTTAGGATTATTCAGCAGTGTATGATAATTATGTTATCTGAAAATCATCTTTGAAGTTCAGTATTTAAACAAATTATAGTAGATCAATAAAATTGTGTAGTACTTTTATAGCTAAAATTGGGTTTCCATTTTTATTAACTTTTAAAGTGCTTAAATACCATGTTCTGATAAACATTGTACATTATATTTGGAAGATCTTTGAAAGAGAAAACACAGGCGAGTATTTAAACTTATTGAAATGATTTGGAGTTCAATGCGCTTGAAGAACAATAATCTACGGGACAGGCAGGTTTGTGTAAGATGAATAACATCCATATTGTCATCATCGACGAAAGAATTCTAGTATGTCAGGAAGCAACTCATGACCAACCTGCAAAAATTTCCCCTAGTAATTTGGACGATCAAAATTATGTCAATTAACGCCACTGTGCACAAAAACGCAGATGATTTGCGAATTACTTAGAAGTCAAACTACTTCCGATTTTTTCCAAACTTTTGCCAAGGTACCTGGATAGCGAGATGAAAACATCGGCGTGCTAAAACGCAATAGCTCTGGTAAGGCGTTCGGACATATTTTAGAGACCTCCCAGTAAAATGATCGGTTTCTCGACGATTTCGTTGATTTTCATTTTATTCAAAGAAGCCGAGGACGCAGACGCGCCGAAGACTACTGTCCTCTTTCAAGTCGCACTTATGCGTGAAATCCTTTTTGCTCATTGGCTAGCACTCAAACTCCGTCCCCACTTATGACTTTCTGTCTTCCTAACAAAACAGCATAACCCTCTTCTCTTATATTAGTTATCGTCAGTTTTTTTGATTACCGCGAATTGCTCGAGGCCTACCAGGCTCTTGCTACACTTCATCAACCTCAGTGATTTCCATATTCTAAAATTTGTTCTTTTGGCAAAACAGTAATTCAGTTGTAGGCAACAAGGAGTTGTTTATATGGAAGGTAGAAAATATTAGGAGCAACACAAACATGTGCAAATCTAAGTTATCGTGGTTGTGAGATCTGCATAAGCCATTTCCACTTCTCCAGTCGCTGCAAATCTGCATTGATATTTTGTATGTCTCCTGTATTTGCTGATGTTTGTGTTAAAGACTGAGAACTTTAGTTGACAAGAAGCCAAACAACATTTGACAGTTAATCCGCTCCAACGAAAGCATCAATCCTGTGTTTCTTGCATGGTCTACAAAAACATTAAAAGCAGATATTCACCTTCGATGCCATGGAACGACTCTCTCTTGTAACTAAGTGTGATCCTTTGAAGGCCGCCTTTGTGCGAATATATCTATGGAAAAGGTAACTAATTAGAGCCGTCTATGAAATTCATTTTGATTACTGAGGTGACCCATATTTTTTTAAGCAAAACCCAGCCTTTCGCCCTAAACCCCAATGATTACAACAGTAGGACACCTTTTAATTAAGTTTATGCTTACGATTAAAGTGCACCAATTTAGACATTTAATAAGCGTTATTCGCCAAAAGGTAGCTTATAATTAGACAGTTATGAAAAAGCAAATTTGTGCTCTTTTAATTTTATTTCGAGGTTTGAAAGGAGAAATTTCATCTTACCAACCTCGGTTTGAGTCAAATCGGACAAGAAAAAGTGAACGAAAACACATTGTTATGCGTAAATGCGGACATTAAAATGCACAGATGTTTTTCTTAATAGCTGACCCAGTCATCGAAAGCTAAGCATTAGGGGATCCCTTTTAGATTTTGCGAGCTGCAAAAAAACCTATCTTTGCCGAAATCGCTTATTCGCAACTTTTCGCGGTTGGAATAGAGTTTTGGCTGGTTTTATTTTTTATTGTTTAATCACCCAGTGAGTAGCCCTAAGCTTGGCCTCTGGGCTGTAATTGCGGTAAAAACTCGTTCAGGGACCGTGTGTGGCGTTGCATGGGCAGAGCCCTACTAAACGTCCCGACGTGTCCTTCTGCTGCCATAATTTAACAAACAAATTCTATCAAATAGGCTATAGGCGCTGCGAGTCGTGACAATGCACGGAATTAAGGCGATTACTGAACACTGAGCTTTCTCTTCGATCCATTTTTGCCGTTGAAAGAAGAGGCCACGTTTCCAATGCATTCGTAAACAGGATTTACCTTGACCTTTCTGACTATCAGAGAAACCCTCCATCTACTCACATTTGTGTAGATGAGAGTTGGGTAAAACCACAAAATTCACATTTGAAAGCATTTTTGAGAGATGAAGCAATCGTTTATACATTATTTTTCCTACCACGACCACTCTGGTTTGATAAACAATCAAGTCAGCGAGGACTGATTTGATGTAAACATGCACACTGCTGACGTGACCTGAACCATGTGATCTGTCAACGCACCAACATTGGGAGAAATACTTAAACATACTAGGCCGATGCAATTGCCCGAATCACAGAACTAGCTTTGTAAAATATACAAGCAGATGTGGAGTCATTTGGAATTTCCAACATGTTGACAGTATCCGAACCCTGGTCGGAGGTTTGTGAAATTAGATAGAGATCATTACCACGGTGGTTCAGGCGATTAAGGGACCGGTAAACTCACAATCAGGCCTATAACCAACTAATTCGGTTAATTTCGCAACACTGACACGCAATTCGATTGTGAAAACTCAGAATTCAAATTGGCATTCTCAGCCACTTAGTAACCAGTTTTGCTAAGACTTTTTTCATGATCAAATTTCTACGAAGGCAGTTCTAATACTGGGAAGCTGTCTAGGGAAATCGCACTTAACTACCACCAATACTTAGTGTCATCAGAAAGGTTGTCCAGCTTGGTCAGATTGAGCACAAACTCGAGCGAGTGACAGACCGTTTGTAGCCTCACCGGTCAAGAACACAGAATAACTCTGACCACTCACAACAATAAATTGACCTGGAATTTTGTCTCACCTAACCCCACTCTGGTATCCAACAATTGTGGCAAAGCGTTTTCCCCAACTTGGTCGGTACAACTTGAGGCACCTGCCGCTTGGTTGAACATTGAAGAATGTCTTCCCCCCTCAAATGACCGGTACGACATCTTGCTGATCTAGCATAGACAGGTCAGGTTGGCGCTAATATCATTTTTGTCTCTTAAATTGTGTCAGCTTACTGTGATTTCTGGTGTGACATTAACTATTTTATACCACCCCTAAGCATGGTTATTTTCACGAATACAACATTTGTATTCGTAATTTTTACTTTGCCTAAATATCTTGTGAACGGATGCTAATTTCGCACCAATCCGACGGTGCTTTTTGCGGCGTAGAACGAACACCTTAACAGCACCGGAAATCGTAGCGTTGCCAAGACCAAGGACTTCGACGCGCTCTTCTGTAGTTAGAGAATTGACTTGGTTAGGGACCATCGAACCATGTCAGTCGAAGACTGAGGCCATCAACGCTGACGGGGAATGTGTTCATTAACGATAGCGAGAGTTGCAGCCCTCTTCTGTTGAAAAGGAATTCCAGTAGCGTGTTCAGAGTCCGAAAATGTATGCCCGCACACGGTTCAATAAGCAATAAGACCTTCAAGCTAACAATTTCTACGTTGGTAAAAATAACTGGTTTCAGGGGACACGATGGACTTTGGTGCCGTGAGCGATTGCTTTAACTGGTACTGAAGTATTACGTGTTTTAGAGTGAGCAAATGAAAAGATGGTACAAGTTCCTGTAATTAGACAAGGGTGTTTGACCAGCGGAGTCCAGCAGGTAGCATTGAAACTGTCAAACAAGAGGGAAAGACGCCGCCGTGGCGACTCCACAAAGATTGTTGCCTCGCTTGATTCGTACATATCCGTTTTCGCCCCAACGAGATCCCCAGCTGTTCTTTATTATCCAATACGGGATTCCATTTTCCTTACCATAGCCAACCAGAAGAACGCCATGATTAAGCGAGCTCGAATCTCCCTTACATGCAGGATCATCATAAATACCTACAAAATACCAAGAATGCTGCAGTGGATTATCAGCGGTAGTGTCTGAATGAGGTCCATTTACTGACTTGAAGGTGTCAATGGCTCGTCCTTATTCCATTGGTTATTGTTATCACTCGATTGTCATCCGCTCACTCATTCACACACTAAGACACACACTTGGCTGGCGTGACGCTGCTAAATGGTCGTGTTCACTGTTGCCTCTCTTCTCTCTCTTCTCAGTTTGTTACGAGTTATTAACTAGAGTTGCAAAATGGTACTAAGCTAAGCTACTGCTTGAGCCGACGAGACTTCAAAAAAACACGGGATCTATTGGAAAACACCCTGATTGGGTATTTGAAAGTTTGTAGTGCACACCGAACAGAAAAGTTACGTCTATTCCATTAAATTAATTAGTTGGAGATTTGCTTCTGTTCCTTGTTATTTCCTTGATGGAATTACTTAGAGTTGTGATTTGCAAAGAAAGACCACAAAATATGCTTGGAATGTTTACAGGGGTAAATCAATTGACTTAAGTGGAGCTTCGAGTTGAATGGGGCACAAGTAGAGAAATTAGGATCTTTAATCAACTGCAAATTTATAAAGTTACCTGCTCGGTGAAATTACTTACCTTCATGGTACATCATAAAGGAGGTTGGTGCGGCGTTTATGGCGACTGATATGGGGCCGTTGAAGGCGAGAGCCTCCATCAACACCTCTTCGCTGCCAGACGCAATGTCAATGAGTCCAGTCACCTTGGCTACTGCTTTAGAGCTTTGGAAAGCGCAGGCTTCGTTGGCTTCGTGAGTGACTCCTGAAACGTAGGGGTAGTCCTCCTCCCGTTCAACGCCACCCGCTTCCTTAACGTAAGTGAAGGCGTAATCCATTAAGCCACCGTTACAGCCCATGTTTCCAAAGTTGAAACTGCAATCGATGAGCTGTTGTTCAGAGAAACTGACAAGTTTATTCTCTGCGCGTTGATATTGTCCTTCAATGGCACCGATGGCGGAAAACGCCCAGCATGAGCCGCATTGACCCTGATCCTTTACCTTTGTCACACGGCTGTGTAGTAAAAAAAGAACATCGATAACGTCTCGAGGACATTATTCCAGCCCAAGTTATAAACCGACAGGAGAATGAGCTATCTGACTTACATCAACTATAGAACATCAGTTTCTACATAAGCGACAATTATGGCAGCGCATGATTAACTTAGTTTAGAGGTAGATTTAATTTGAATAAATGAGTTGGTAATTCTGATAAGTAACGAGGGCTCAAATATTTATGTCATCGAAAGAGCATTCGCGTAATGGCCACAACTGTTTTAAGGCTTTTTAAAGGCCACAATGATCATGAACTGAAAACAATCAAGTGCTTAATGCGATTCCCTCAAGGTTAAAATTTGAAAATATGTTATCTTTGAGCCGACCATTTGAACAAACGGTTGAAAAGCTACCATTCGCAGGGCATACCCTTTCCAACGCCAGTCCACAGATTCAGGCAAAGGGGCATATCTGGCTAACTTCCGATAGGAGTGTCGAGGTATGATCCCAGACATTTTGCTTGTGTTATAACGATATCCAAGGTATTTGTTGTATTCAGATACACTCTAAAGAGAGTAATTAGGGAGAATATCGCTTACCATGGCTGAGAACTTGTTGATGCCCATTATGAAGGAAGATGGCTGCTTTAGATGCTCCCACATTCGGGCGACATTAGATGCGAAATTTTGGAAGGATTGCATCGTGGGAATGTGACTAAATTCTTTGACAAACATGTCCCAAAGATGTTTTAGACCACTTTCTTGATAGTTAGAAAGATTTTGGATAGGAGACTGTAGCTTAGTCCATCCAACGACAGCTGGCTTTGACAAACAGAGTCCAGCAAATAAAAGAACTGATAAAAGCAAGCGCATTGTTATGCGGCTACCTAAAATAAAAACATTGATGAGCAGAATCATTAACCCTACTTGAACTGACCTACAATGGCATACAACAAGTAAAAAGACAATAAATAGTGTAAAAATTTAAATTATACGTTGATCTTTAAGTGCAATTGGGAAGCACCAACTAATATAGATGGAATGGACACCTAAATGAAGGCCAAAACACCATTAAGATATGTAATTTTAGGATAGAACAGTAGGACTGAACACTACACAGACAGAACGTATTCAAGCTTCTGGTCTAAATCAAGGGCGGCAAAAAAGCATATAAAGACTCGAACTAGTGCGAAAATGCGTCACTGACGCAAGCAAACAGAAGCATTTAAACCAATGATTATTATACAACGAGATGATAAGCAAACAAACCCACTGGCTGTGCGAACAGATTAAAGAGGCGGGCGAGTGTTTATAATCGATCACGCAACCGAGCACAAGCGCTGAGGTGTGGATGGATTTTATTTACCCAATTATAAACCATGCTGAACACATGTTAAGAACGTTATGGAGGTGTAAACTCTTGAGAGTAATCCAAAGATATCGAAACTCAATTAAGTAGTCGTGATGAAAATGTACAATTTAAAGGTGAGTTAGATCATGCAGTTCAACTGCCTTATACTTCATACCCCTTCAGACTTAAAGAAAAAAATTACTATCTAGCAGACTTTACAGTTGTCAACCGCGACAAAAACACACCAAGGAAGACTCAACATACACCAACAGCAGCTGGGTCCTGACCTTGAAAAATATTCAAGATAAGTGAAACAAATATAATTAGAAAGGGATAAATTATAAAATCTTTATAATAATGCATTATTGCATGACTTTTCTTACTTTTTAAAACATTCGAAATTTATGTAAAGTAAAGATATAGGTTGGTTTTAAATGCCGGGAATGGTAAAAGTCTAATGCATTTACGTATACGTTACAAAGTGACGTGTGCGAAGAAGTATAAAATATAGCGTCATAATTGGACAATGTCAAAGACTAATACTATATGAAAGCTGCAAAAGTTTTTGATAACGGTGGGTTTTCATTAAATAAAGCCTAATTTCAAGTTTTGTCGGAAAAATCAGTAATTTCACCAATCATAGGAAGTTTGTTTTTATAAAAAAAATTACCGACGATAATTCTCACTCAAATCAAAAAGCCAGCCATTCGCTTATTCTTGTATAGAAATAATAGGAAAATTGACAGAAGTCAAAAGTTTTTAAGTGATTTCGATTTGAAATAAAATAGACAAATTATAATGTTAATCTGGTATTTGCATTCGGCGTATGATAATCGAATTTTAACGACGAGATAATTGCCCAATTTAGAGTTTTTTTAATGGAAAAAATTCTACCTAAGTCACTGCAAACTTTACCAATAGCATCTTGCATTCGATTAGAGCTTAGAGCCTTATTTATTATCTAAAACCATAATTAACAAATAATGCATTTTTCTCGATGCTCCTGCACAGGAATCTGTCACATGTTGGCGTTCCTATAGAGGTATTGAAATTATATTTTTTTTGGTATGTCTAACCTGGCATGATAGTTAGACATATTTTACAACTGTAGTAATTAAACCTTAAACAAAGGCCAATGACCACGAACGTACTGTTTTCCACAATTATCTGTTAAAAACCATTATAGTATTGTTATGGATATCAACGTTCGCCATGACAACTTTGCAGTAAAATTTGTTACTGTCATTCACCTAGCTTTGTTTACAGGGTTACAAATATACGGTCACGCCACGTGGTTGTAAACACCAACAACTCGTCCTTCAATGTTGATTACTCAAATCAGACCGCCCAGGCATATGTAAGTGGGCGCATCTGAGCATCCACTAGACTTCCGCCTAGACACTCACCTAAGCCCTGGCATGTGATCGAACCTTTGGTTCAGAAAGTAAAGACCTTCGAGCAATCTCAAATCCTTAACGAGCCAAAAGATGGCTTCGAGCAATTACTCGCAAGGATTAGCACTGGCATAACGGTTAAAACGTAACACCTAACCAAAGAAGTCTGCAGTCTACAATTTCTGCCTCGTGTCTAGATTTTAGTGTTAACCCCGAAACCCTCTAATCAGGTTAACCCCGGATTCCGATCGCATATGATTTATGTAGAGTAATTCCTCAACTGTCAGCCTAATAACCGTTCTCTAGTGATTCTGTAATCATTGATCATTAAGTATTAAACAGTTTGTTTGTGTAAATGTCTACCAAATGATGGGCTGTTGTTCCAAGGAAGCTTCAAGATATATATCCCAAAAAGATTCGAATTGTAGCTGAACAGAGCTTGACTTGGGGTAAAAGTGCTGCAGTATCTTACTAGTAGTGACACAGTTATAAGAGATGAAAAGAAACCTGTGTTAATTTCTTGTTGAGAGCACTTTTTCTACTCTCCATGAAAGTTTCTCGACTCACTTTTGGTGTTCTACAATTAACAATTGTGTTAGGTATTCTAATGCTGACATAAAAATGCAAAGTATGTCGTTGCAGAAAACTGCCACATACACCGACTTGTGGTTTGAGGCACGATTAAAGGCAGTGAATATTTTGTGATGAATCTCCGTGTCGTCTTTTTACTTTTTAGTGTTTTTCAAGTGTGTATGTTCAATTATTTGCACATTCATATAGGGGAATTAAAGTTGGTGTTTCCAATTATGCAGCATTGTGACTTTTCTGCCTCGACTCACGCATGTTTGCATTTGCTGTATTTAAACCATGTGGTTTAAGCATCCATGTTAGAAACCGCGATCTCATTCTAGCTATGGTTATAGGTAAAACAAAGTAATATGCCTGCAGGATCATCACTTATCGATTTGCTAAGTTGCAGTGCAATGCTAAGAGATGATGCTTGGACAAAATCCCTGCTTATGTCAAAATTAAACTTCCACAGTTTTAAGTGTTTAGCATGTTAATAAGAGGTTAAAATAGACGCAATACGATAATTTTTACCAAAATTGTCTTTCATAGGCCTGTCACAACTTGAAATAATAAAAATATTCCATGTCATATTTGGTCAGATGTTTCCGTTATTAGTTAGAAAACCAGATCTCTCGAAGTTTACGATCCCGAGTTTCCTAAATACTCAGCACGATTAATCTTGACCCAAGTAGTAAAATCAGTGTAAATTGCCATATTTTATACAGCTGTACTGACGTGAATGGGCGTAGGCGTATTGGATTGTGTAAACCTCAGTCAGTTCTGTGTCTTAGGGCGTTTTAATAGCCCGTGAATGTCTGCAGACAACCAAACACATGGATGGACAAGAAGCAGTATGCAAGGAGAGGCACAGTCACTATGGTGGACGCTGCTGGACGGTGTCAATAAAGCCTCCTGTGTCGTACCTGTCTTCTTTATTCTAGGGCTCGGTTATTCTACACAGCCAAACATGCGGGTCACCCAGAGCTCAAAACTAGTTTGTGATGTTGATGCACCCCTCACCACAGAGACTGCGTTACCATGCCAACGTCCGTGACTGGCGAATTCAGGGACCATTCAACTCATGCAACGTTCACAATGCCTAAGTCAACACGTGCTAATTTGCCTACGCGCATTTTCAACCACGTGACTATGGTAAAGGGTCAGGCTTCAGATGACCCGGACTGTTACGTTTACAACACCCCAAGTCCCTGTTATTCTTCCACTTAACCAGAACCTTCCACCAGGACCAATGCTCCATACATTAGACAATGGTGACGAATAATTTATTTCGACAGAGCGGCCATATCGTCTGTCAAATTAATAACATTTTTTTCGAATTTCTGAAACAACTTTGGAGACTGGGCAAATAAAAAATACAGCTGCATTTATTGAGATGCCTTATAACCTGTAATAGTCTGCCGCTGGATCGGAAGTATCGATGTGATCATCAAGAGATCGCCGAGTAAATTACTCTTCACAACGCTAAATCTAGACATTTTTGTAATGGAGACCATGTCGTGTACACCTGGGTGATGAAACACAATTTGCTAATGTCTGTAAAGTCCTTTGTTGCATCCTACTGACAGTGATTCATCTTGTATGCTATTTTAATCAAATAAAACACTGTCGGCAAAACTGTCTGCTTTCGAGGGTTCCGAGACCGCTGTGACAAAAACCGTGAGTTTACAGTTACGAGGGTCACTGGAAGACATTGGATTGGCAGGTTCGCATTTGTGTGGTGGTGCCTCCTCACCATCGCAACACCACCTCATCTCTAAAATAAGTATCTTCTCAGGTCCATTTCCCGAATTTTGTATTTTTGGACGAGGTAGACGAGCCTGCTTTGCTGGCGCCACACTTCCTCGCTAAAAGCAATGTCTCCATTTCCTCCAATGAAAATGGCACCACATGTCAAATCTGGTGGAACCTATGGGCTTCAAAACAAAGAAGCAAAGTAAAACGTTAAAGTACCTACACCTAGCAATACCTTTGATATTGTATTGCTTCATCTGTCTCAACCAAAAGCATAGTAACATGAAAAAGTGAAAATCTCACAGCGTGATCCCAATTGCAGTGATGATTGCGATCACCGCTTTGAATCAGGAGAAGAGAAGAATTAATGGAGGATTAAGAGAATTGAATTATCGATGGGTCATGACAAGCTAGGTATGATGTAAATCAATTTCAACGCAAAGTTTCTGCCTATAAGGCATGTATTACTCAAATTCTCAAAATAGAGTTTTCCTTAATTGTCACAGCACAATTCTGGATTGGCAAATTATGGTGCATTGACAGATGTCTGATAACATTTTGCGCGTTTGAATAATGAGTTGAGTTGAAGTAATGCTAAGAAGAGCTGCTACCGTGAATTTAGAAAACTGAATATTTGTCTGATTAAGAACAGTACAGAAGATGTGCCAGGGATAAACCTTGTACATGTGCAATATTTGAACTGATCGAACTCATAATTAGCTCCCCTTTCTATCACGAATGTTGCCCCGCTGACCAAGCAGTGGTTTCTGGTATCCACTTCAGATTCTCGGTGTATCGCAATTAAACTAGAGATTACTCATTGGTTCGCACAAACTGCCAATACCTGAAATTGTGGCACACAGCAAGAAACGCACACTCACCAAGAGACTTGTATCATTAAAACTTCTTCCACCAGTTTTCTGTTGCGCCAACGATGTCAAAGCTAGCAGCCGTTGGAATCGATTTGGGAACCACCTTCTCATGCATTGCCGTAGAAAAAGCAAATCAAATGCAGATTGTTCAAAATAAAGAAGGAAGTCGAATAACACCAAGTGCGATTCGCTTTACAAAGCCCCGGTTGTTTGGAATGAATACCAGAGCCTATGCCCATGAGCACATCAAGGAAACAGTCCACGATGTGAAACGTCTTATTGGGCGCACGTATACCGACCCAGTTGTCAGTGAGTGCGTAAAATCAGTCGGATTCGATGTGGTGAATCATGGTGGAGAACCACTTGTGGAAGTCGAAGTGGATGGCGTCAAGGAGACATTTCGGCCAGAACAGATTTCTGCTATGATTCTCGAAGAGTTAAAGGATGATGCCGAAAAGTACTTGGGTTACCCTGCGACTGAGGCCGTTATAACGGTGCCGGCCTCCTTCAATGACGCCCAGAGAATGGCTACGAAGCATGCTGGCATGATTGCAGGGTTTAAGGTTCTGGCCATTATCAATGAGCCGACTGCAGCAGCTCTAACCTGGGTCTATGAAAATCGGGAGACTGCCTTGGATGGAAACAAGAAAGTCGTTCTTGTGTTCGATATGGGTGGTGGCACGACTGATATCTCAATCGTCTCAATAGACGAAAATGATATCAGTGTAACATCCACCGTGGGCGACAACCAACTCGGAGGTAACGATATTGACAAAATGCTTATGGACCACTTCGTCCAAGAGATAAAGGACACCTACGACCGCGACATCTCTCAAAACCCTCGTTCAATGGCCATCTTACGAAAAAATTGCATTGATCTAAAGCACCAGTTAAGTTTGCAATGTGAAACCAGAATCTTGGTTGATGGTTTGATTCAAGGCAAAACAATTGAGCTTAAAATGTCGAGTCCTCAGTTCGAATGCGTTATTGATGATATAATTGAGAAGACTATAAAATTGATCCGTAAAGCACTAAAGCTGGATTTAGAGAATAATTGTGGAGGAGAAAACATCGATATTACCAACGTTGTTCTTGTCGGGGGATCATCGAGGATGCCGTGGTGTAAAAGAATATTTGAAGAATCCATTCCTGGTAACAAACCGGTTTGGAAATCGGTAAATCCAGATGAAGCAGTCGCCTTAGGGGCTGGTTTGTACGCAGCTAAATTAAAAGGATCAAGCCTGTGTCCCAATGTGCGTCTCCTTGATGTAGCTCCACTGTCATATGGTGTTGAGATTCGAGGAGGCAAGATGTCGAATCTAATTAAGCGCAACACCCCTTTACCCTTCACGTGCAAGCGCACCTTCACTACTGTTGAGGACAACCAACGCAGTGTCCAAATTAACATTTACGTGGGTGACAAGGAGCAAGTGGCCCAAAACAAGAAGCTTCAAGAACTTGAACTGCCACTGAGACCGGTTCCCAAAGGTGTTCCTGACATTGAGGTCACCTTTTCTCTTTCCCAAGAATTTATCCTCAACGTGACTGCAAAGGACTTAGCTATAAATGGCGATAGTAAAAATGTCAGCGTAAACGTACTCAAAAGGTTGACTAGGGAGGAAATTGACAGAATGTCCTTCGATTCACAAAGAATGAGGAAAACGGATGAACAAGAAAGCCGGCGTCTAAAATTACGAGAACAGTTGGAGAGGCTATCTTACAGGAAGAAGGCCAAGGACGTTCTCGCCTGGCTTGCACACAATAGAAATGCCAGTGTGGAAATATTACAGGCGAAGCTTGTGGATCTTTTAAATCTGTAACTTGTAAACCATTGTTTTTATTCCTTGTGTGTCTAGATCGAGTCTTTAAAATTATCTTGGTGTAAAATTCTAGTCCTACATAGGTTGATACGGGGAAAACATGGGCAGCTCAACGCTTACCTTTACTAGTCCGTAGGCGTTTAAATTATTTGACATGCACTAGAAATGGCTTAATTGGTGCATAAAGAAGAAGTAGGTTGTAAAGATGTGTGCCAGATGCAGTTATTAATTCGTGGCAATTGACACGAGACGACCTGGGAAAATGAGCTTTGGTGTCATTACGGTTTACAAAATGCGTAAACGTGCAAGTAGGGAATGAATGTCAATCAATCCTGGAGTGTCCTATGAGCTGAGTATTCAAAATATGTTGCAGTATAACTCATTTTCAGCTCGTTACCTCGATCCTCGAAGAGATAATCATTGCACTCAAGATTCATCATTGAATCAGCGTCAATCAACAAGGATTTTGATCAAAGTATTTCAAAATAAACATCAAGGATCTTACATGTTGCCAGAATGTAGATAAGTTGGCATCTGATTGTATCATAGTAAGCTCACGGATCTTGTGTTGTGAAACTAGAAGCGCTGTTGATTCCACAAAGTGCTTCACTGGACCACACTTTGCGAGCTCTGTTTAAGCAAGGTTCACGGAAACGAGCCAAGGTACTTTTGTGAATGACTTCAGACTAGTCTGTGCCAATATTTCCTCAAGTGACAAGCTGTGAGGCCATACCAAATTTTGGAAACGTGATTGATTTTCATAATTCATCACACTACACCTGTATTTCCATGCAAACAATGCCAACTAAAAGAATTACAACAATAAACAATTAAGTGCCAAAACACACTTATGATTTACCAATGCCTCAAAATAGAAAGCAGTGTTTCGCACTTAAGAAGTGAACCAACTTTCGTCACGGGTCAAAATTCCAGCAAAATCGGGAAATCCAAACACCTAGTCTCGGCATTGTACCCGAATAAACAATTGCATGGCAAGGGGAGCTAGAAAGAATCAGAATTAAGTGGCCCAACGTCACTTTCTCAATGAGTCAGCGTGGTGCGTCGCGCCATATTCAGGTGCACACTAGAACTCAGATACCGAGAAGAGTGATTTATTCGCAACAGGCTGAAGAGCAAATCTTTCAACCTGCTGCAGCGTTCACGTAAAGTATACTATGAGACAGCAGTTAGCTTGTTGGCAAACGCAGATCGGCAGAAGGAACATTAAAGCTCTGACCAGATGAATTCAGAGAATGCAGCACGTTTATCTTGAAAGGACTTGAGGTTACGGTGGAGTGCGCTTGCGTACTGTGAGACCTGAAGGCACCAGCTCTTTAAATCCTGATATCACCTCAGTTTCTTGGCCAAAGCATGCATAGGCAGAGCAAAATCGGTAGTTTGATCACCTCTTAGAATATCAACATGGTGAGTTGGGGCAAAACACGGGCGTTTTTAACGATCACGGGTCAACCTGGAATCCATTCCCTCATCCACGTCTCATTAATTATCTGTCATTACGATTTTCTACGTTTGCAAATAGCGTTTATTGCATGACGTCTAGCCAGTTCTGCTTGATTCCAGCGCGGGTTCTCTTCGGCATAATTCAAGCTAGCTAGAAATGGAAAAGCCCTTTTCATTCTTACTAACTCACTTTTGGAATTGCTTAAATTTTGAGTGGGCATTCCAGCGACGTGTTGCTATACTTTCAAAGCAAGACTGCATTTGAGTGGAAAGGAAGTGAATCTGAGTTTAAAACGCCTAAAATGCGACTAAACAAGAGACATTTGTACAGATTCACAGTGAAGTTACCGCAAATGCTTATTTATAGCATTTAGCAGGAGAGATAATGGGGATAGCCCCTGGTAAAACAAAGCACATTTTAGAACCGTCGGTGTCTGGGGCGAACGTTTCCTAAAATAAACCAACAATGAGGCAAGTACAAAAGCTCGAAGATAACAATAGCCATGAAGGAAACAGACATCACTTCAGACGGGGCAAGTACACAAACAGCAAACACATTACAGAGAACGATTTACACCCATCAGACGCGAGCTTACAGCTCAAAGCCTAACATGTATTTCAAAGAATTTAAAACTCACCATGCTGATCATAACATCACCTGAGTTGTAATCCCTTCTCGATTACATTAATGTTACCGCATTCCATGTGGTCACTTTACGTCACTAATTCCTCATCTCTTCATAAATCTCCCTTTTGCACTAATTTTGGCTTAACCTGGAGATCTAAATTCGACTGATGAAATCACCACGGTACAGCAAAATGCATTAAGTGTTAGGCATACCACACTCACGCCAAAAATAACCGTTCTACTTACACATAGGCATTAAAAGGTGAGGATACGAAAGGCATACGTCTGCGTGATCTATTTGCGTTCGTCGTCCTTGAGCAGCACGTCTGTCTTCATGTAACGGAGCAGGACTGCATAGAGGTGTCAAGTGGTTACCAACGCTACCCATCTCAATGTTAAAAAATGTTAGGTGGGCCCTCTGGGGATTATCTGGTTATGCCTGTTCGTGAAAATTGAATTGGTCTGTTGTGGTTGTAAATAAGTTGAGTTAGTGAAGTTTCTTCTTCGCGACACAAACCATGATCCTGGAATGCAGGCAACGTAAGATCTTTGAAGGATTCACAGAGCCACCAAGTGTAGCCAGTCACTTGATTTAGCCGTCAATTTTGAATTCGATTTTGGTTTCTAATTGCATGACGTATCATCGTGTCACATTAACCCATTGATCACCATGTATAAGACATTAATATTGATGGGTTTTGCTGTAAAATGTGCTCTATTAGAATCATGTGGAGATCTCTGCGCATAGTTGCTGCCATTACCTCAATCTGGTTAGCCAAATTTGCATTTAACTTCTCTATTGATATATAAACTCGTGGTTTACTCGCTCATCCCAGTCACAGGGGCAATTTTAACGAATGTAAGGAAGCTTACCGCCACCACTTTATTAGGCGTGGTTTTAATTGAGTTAAGCTAACTGTCAATAACGACCTTGTAGATTATTCGTTACACTGGCTTGCTAGATGTGACTGCACTTACTGGGTGTAATTCAATTTTATTACTGACACAACCGCCAAAATCAAAACTATGCGCGTATTTGTTCTAATTTCCGAAGAGTCGATATCAATATGCACACAATAAGCCGTCAAAATAAACCGACGCATTTGTCTATGTGGATATGTTGAAGCCTCGGCAGCAATGCAGTATCAAATATCTTCTGCGACACGAGCATACCAGCTTAATAATTGACATCATAGGAAATCCATTCAGGCTTATTTAAATTCCTGACATATGCATCAGTTTTTATAATCTGGGGTGTATTGCCTGATTTAGAACAAATTTTCAGCAAGTTTATTTAATATGAAATAAGGAACAAGGAACTTAATTTTGGAAATACTGTGCATCTTCTTTTATGACATTGCGCTATCTGCCACGCAACGTACGAATGCCCTCTCAAACCCTCACAAGTTATAGCCAGTGTGGAGCTGTGACTTAGTACCTGCTAGTTGTTCAGGTGCTTCAATTTGCAATTGAGACAACGTGCACTACAATCAGTTTTGTTGGCAAAATCAGATTAATGAGAGTGCCCTCCGCATTTCACGGCCGACTACTCGCAGTGGTTCCCCGCTCTTACAGATGCGCCATTATTGGTCGCGTTATTTGTTTATGCAGACTGAAATGCTGCAACATTAAAAAAAGTTAACACTTTCCATTGGCACTCCAGCCACCTAGTATCAGAACAGTAGAAAATAGCTCCAGGATTTCACAATATGATCGAACATTGCACCAATCAACTCTAAGTTTGTGAGTGAAATTTGAATGAAGAGTTTGTCGATTTACCTGCTTTCCTTGACAATTATGGAACTTCAAGCAATCAGTGGCAGATGGCTGCACTTGCTCAAGTCATGATTAGCATGGCTGAAGAAATTATTTCCACGTGTTTCAGTAATGATAATGATGATGATAGTAGGCAAAAATATGGTTATTATGGCCAAAGAATCGAACGCGAATGGGTGGTTCCACGTGGGCAATGTTAGAATGGCGCTGAGCCTTAAGTGTTGCAACACGTTATTGAAAATTACCATCTATTTTTGCAAGGCACACAGCGCGGCCGGTACCTCACGTGAAACTTAGCACCAGTTTCGATTGACCATTTTTGGCAGAATAAATATGACGGATGTCAGAAGATGTTTTAAATAGGTTGTGACTCTATTAATGCGGTGACCTCTGGCTCTAGTGCAAGTACTTATCCAAGCAAAATTTCAACTTTGAATTCCAGTTGGTTCCTAAAATCATGCAAAAATATGAAAGCTCTTCGGTGAGATTTATCCTCGTTGACTATGAAAGTGAAGCAATTGGTGGTTGCCTGATCATCAACATGGTTTAACCCTTAATATGATCCAAAATGTTAAAATGCATTTGCGGACATTTTGCCTGAGTGTCTAACATTGTCCACCATTCATGCGACGTCAATGACAAGAAATGCAAGTCGTCACACTATACCATCTAGTTGTTTTCTAACTTCTTAGGTGGAATTGAGCGTTTACAACCAGCACATTTGAATCTTTTAAATTAGTGCTAGAACTACTCCAAAAGGCTTCAATTAGTAGTCACTGAAATATTTTATGAATATCTGCGATTGACCACCTGACTCGTTAACAGCGCTCAAGTTAATCCTATTTCAATGTGTTCTCATATTTGAATTCCCATTTAATTGTCATAAACAGAAGTAAAAGTTACAATTGTGTCACTAGTTGTTCTAAAATCATGATGATGGCATTAGGAATTATGTTGCATTCAAGTAATTCACTCAAGTCGCCGGAACGATCCCTCCAGCAGACCTAAACTATGACCACATCCAAGCGCAAATTTCGGTGTATAAATTAATTAACTTTATAAGCAGTAGAATGTCAGGATTTTGCATAATTTGTTGTTCCATTGAAAACCGAAATGGAATGGGTCACCCACTTTTAAGGCGGACTATATAAAAGCTCTGTGATTTGACTGTCGTCGTCGTTCGAGTTCTTGCTCCCTTTCAAGATATTTGGCTCTAATGGCCTCAATTTTGGAGTCTTATGAGAAGCAATATGGGAACCTAACCAGTGAAATTACAGCAAAGCTAAACACAATATCGAGACTCTCATATGGTGTGTATTCCAAACAATATACAACATTCCCGTCCTGGTTGCTCTTTAAGAAAAAACAGTTTAGACTGAGAGCTTCTCTAGATGTGTGTGTAGGTTTTTTGATCACACAGACGCTACGTCTTTCGCATTTATATTTATTACTTTTACCCTTATTGATTCTTGCCTTCGTATCTGTAAGCAGATTCCAAAATATTTAACATTAGGAAAATTCAAAGCACCGCGTGTATGAAAATCATGTCGTTTTGTGCTGCTGATAATTGAAATAGCACAGACTCTTGTCCATACTTATCGAAATGTTTACATTTCTGAAGGATTTTAATTAAGCTCGATTTTTTTATTCGTGCTTATTGTTCCTATTCTAGATGATCGGAAAGCGGAAATCGCAGCTACATCTCGTTTGTTCGACGAAACCCGCGAACTACTTGAGCAAATGGATCTAGAAATTCAGGACTTGCCAGCTGACCTCAAACCTAAGTATTCCACTCGACTCCAGTGTTATGGGCAAGAGCTTGCTCGGCTTGCGCAAGAGTTTGTGAGTAGTCTTTTTGTTGTTTGTGTTGTTGTTACTGTTACATATTTGATTACGGCTGTTGGAGTGAATATCCATTGTTTCTTTTTTTGCTAGCCAAGAACTTACTTTGGTTAAGTGCCATTCTCCTTTTAGAGTATTTGTTAACCCAAATGCACCAAAAATTTGAAAAAAAAACTTGATTTACCTTTGTAACTGGACATATTTTACAACATTTCTTGAACACCAACATGTTATGTTAATGCATAGACCACCTCAATCACACTGAACTGCAGTTAGAGCAGCATGGTAATTTAATAGAATCCTTTGTGTGAGTTGAAATCTAAGTTTCACATCTTAAAAATTTGGGTTTTGTTTAGGGTTGTTTCCAAATGCTTTTGAGGCTGTTGGTATCAGGTTCTTGATTTTAACTCTTGTGAAATCTGTCACCAACCTAAAATTTTTTTGTCTGTACACAAGTTTCGGTTTATTCACCCTTACCCACTCAAGTGTCAGTCTACTTTTTTCCCAAATAAATTCACGCATTCTTTACGTGTACTGTAGAAACGTCCACGTTACAGTTTGAATGCAGTTTCGAATGCAGTTGATCACCCCGATCACAGTGCGCTTCGAGAGGAGCTCTTAAGTGGGGCAGCGGCTGATTCAGGAGACATGCGAACCTGTCTTCTGACAAACACAGAGCGTGTTGAGCGAACAGGCAAACGTTTGCATGAAGGCCTTCGCATGGCCTATGAGACAGAGGAAATCGGTGGACAAATTCTCGGTGATTTGGACCAACAGAGAGAAACTATCCAGCGAAGCCGTGATCGCGTAAGTTGGAAGTTGTGAGTACAATTTTGGTGTCAAAAACTTTGAGGTGCGTTCCTCTGTCTAGAGTTCCCAAGGACCTTGTAGCTTTTATTCATACACGTGTAACTGCTTAAAGTATGAGGACTTACAAAAATACGAGAATGAAGGCGAAATACGTGGTTTAGTCGACTAGAAGTCGTGTTTTGTCGGGACTATCACGACAGTTCTAAAACGAACAAACTTTCACTTACCCTGTGTAAATTCCAGTCATTTGTCAGCATTTTCTTAGGACTTCGTTCAGATTATGTTGATCCCCTTGGAATGAACTGACGTCGATACAGGTTATTAGAACTAGCTTATGAAACTTATAATTAACTAATTCACACCAAATAACTCCCATGTTTTGTAATAATTAAATAAGTTGAAAACTGCTCGAAGAAAAATAGACTAAAACATTGTTTTTCGTTTTGGGTTTGCGTATCCTTTCACTAAATGTTCCCTTTTACTTTTCCTTAACGTTTGCCTCAAACGTTTACGGGAATATTGCCCCGAAAGTATATCTTCTTAGTTTTGGTCATTAATTGAAACTGATTACTTCTGGAAGTATTTGGGCCGAGGTCCCTATTGTATTCCGTTTGTATGTGTTGTTTCTATCTTTGCTTACGTAGTTTGAGTTGCAAATGCAAGTGGTGTTAAGGAAGTTGGGCATGGAGTAGAGGCTTCGGTTCTTCGCTGCGTGGAAGGTGGAAGGTTGTTAAACCGGATTGGACAAACCTGTGGTTTATTAGAGGGATGAACATCTAAATAAATGAGGTTATGCGTGAGTAGCATGAATTTGCAACATTGGCAGCAGCTGTTATCTCCTCCTCTCCCTTGTGAGGCCGTAGCCCCTCAAATAATCTTAATTGCAGGGTTCATAGATACACAAAAAAGCATTGTGCAATATGCCTACATGGAACTGCACCAGTTATGTTGAACTTCATTGTATCCTTTTAAGAGCTCGTAGTTTGGCAATGTTGGCAGGCAAGATGAAAACGGAAGTCTCAAACGCATAGATTTATTAAGCATTCAGTGGCGTGATAAGATAATTGCTTCATCTTTTCCTTCGATTTTATCCCTGTTTACGACCTTTCTCCTCATTTCGCGTTGGCTTGCGTCGTAACTCTTTGACAATGTCTTAGTTATCTTCATTTGACCCCCTTTGTGCTTTTCTTTTTGTTGTTTAGGCCAATCAGTGTATAGCTATAATAGGGACAAAGTGCATGCGGTATCGACTTCCTATTTTCTTCAGCTCTTGTCTCCTTTTTTGACATCTCTGTATTTTGCACAATCCAGTCTACTCTGGGTGTGACTTGCCTCAGACCCGACCAAATCGGTCAATATTCGAATCAAACATTGCTTCAGTGCAATGTTTTTTTTTAAAAAAAATGTTTGGAAATGAAGTTTTACGGTGGTCTCTGAAGTGCCATTATGGATTCAAAATTGGTATCTAGGCAATTTTAAGTTTTCTTTTGGGTTTGTTTTGAGGCAATAAGTAAAACAATGCATCCTTTTCCTAGCTGCGACACGCGAATGAGGATCTCTCGCGCAGTTCTCGGCTAATCTCAAAGATGTATCGACGGTAAGTCAATGTGGGAGTCACGAGTGTACGGGGAATTAAGTGCATTCTGACAGGGACCATGCTTTCTCGCTTCCTGCACTCAAGTCAAATTTATATGCTTCGATTTTCCTGGGTCTCATTAGTGGCAGAAATTTTTTAATACACAGAGGAAATACCACCACAGTCGTTTTTTGAGTGAGTAGATTTTCTTGCTGCTTGAACGCCCATGCGTCGGCACGCCTGCCTGCCACCTGCCGTTTCGAAGTTGAGCACAGTTGTTCGCGAAGTGCTTTTGATTGGCCAAAACTTGCTCAGCTTCATTTTGTTGCAGACTTTTTTGTAGTGTAGGTTTTGGTTCCTAAATCAGCAGTTTCCTTATTATAACTCGGTTTTTTGCCACGTCACAAGGAAATTCTTCCATTGACAACTTCGTTAAGCGTATTTTCGTAGGTTCATGCGTACTCGTGACAGGCCTGGCGATGTAGAGACGGCACAAACTAGCACTCCCGTAAATTCCATTGTCACTAGCTTTTTCGAAGGATTTCCGAAGTACCTGTGCACCTCTGTCAATATATTTTTGAAGTTAATAAGTGAATTTACCCACTTCGCTCACGTACCACTAACATTATCACTTATGTAACCAAACCACGCGTGGTTGTCATTCTCACCTGCCATAATTCGTTTTGCCATGATTCATTTTTTTAAATGGCTGACATTTTTCTGGCTTTAATGTCACCATCGCTTCTTCCACTTACTTTCTTAAATAAGTATCGTCTAGCTCTTGTGTAGTCGCTCTGCTCTGTATAATTTGGTTGTATACATTTAACCAGCGTTTACCTTGATGTTTGACAGTCTTCCCTGAGATACGATGGCGAACTTGTTATGGATTTGCACGTTCACATTCTAGATTTTCGTGAGGGTGCTACCCGAATGAATATGTCTCACGTCTTTCATCTGTGGATGCTAATGACGTGGACACTATTGTCTTTTTTTATTTTAGGGTTATCCAGAACCGAACTATTCTCATAGCGATTGGGATTATGATGTGTCTGATCTTCTTTGGCATTATTTACATCATGTTCTTCCGCAACTCAAAGGTTGCCGCAACTTCCTCTGTACCGGGTTCCCCTCTCAACACAACAGCCCACAAACCCTCCTAAGCAGTTGTGATCCTTCCCACAACTACCTATTTGGATCCTCATAACTTCTTAACTGGTCGCCGTTACAGTTAACATCTGTGATTTTTGTGAATGTGTAGAGTCTGCTTTACATAACTTTGCTTTCACTCATTTACTACACCTAAATATATGTGTCGTTGTATTTCTCCTCTTTCGTAGATAACCGAATCCTCGAATGAATATCTTCAGCGTCAAGGACTTTGATTTCTGATATCTTAATTTCTTGGCATGGACGCTCATTTTTCGTTGGCACTTTTTCCATGGCATTCAGAGTTTGTGCGCCTTCTATCAGTTGACTGTAAATAGAAAATCGCAGAATTAGGACAATGTTACTTCCCATTAGTACAGAGAAATTGATTTTGTATAATTTTTGTGGGACACTTTGGTCATGAGGTGATTCGCTCACGAAACGTCATCCTTGCCATATTTGTTGATTATAAAAGTATTTGCGTAAAAAATGTTAAAAGCGTGGCTAACGGGATAGTCCTGTTTCCGTCCCAGTTGCTCTGAATATAAACGCATGAGTTCACATAAAAAATTGGTTCCTTGGTGAAGCGTACGCACTAAATGACTCTGGTGTTCGATAAGGCCAAGATTTAATTTGCGATTTGGGTAAGGCAAAAGCTTATGGCAGAAGAATTCGTGATTTGCGACTACCATGTATCAAAATGACGCCATGTTACAAAATCCTGTTTGAGTGTATGCATTCATCTATTTAATGCCGTCCATTTTCTTTAGCTCCTTAACGAGACGTTTCCTCACCCCGCAAAACCACTTTTCATTAGTTCGGCTGCTGACATGGTGTATTTCTTCATCTTTGTCGTTTTCTTTTAAATTTTAGCTGCAATTAAAAGCTGGTCTACATATTCAGAACCTCTTTCTAAAGTTAAAACCATTATAGTAGTTAGTAAACTCGTTACCGTCAATTTTTTAATATCTTATACAAGCCTGCATGAAGTCACGTCTGAGGATTTTGCCCACACACTATGAATTTAAACTATTTGCTTAATCATTTAATATTTACTTTCAACACCATAATGGTTTGGTAATGTGTTTCTGTTCTATATTTCGCATAACATACCCGAATGCAACGTATCTGTAATCCATCCACGCAGCTGGTTGAAAGGTGATCATAAACTGCGAGGAATTTGTGTGCTGGCCTTCATTTACCATACTTAGAACCCCGCGTCCATCATGTTTGATGGCAAAATTTTCATCTGCATCATGAAGACGGATGGATTAAAATGGTGAATGTAAAAAGGTGGTACAATGACTTGTGCTAACCTTCAAACTTTTCACTATAAATCGAACGACCAGCATTGCCACTACCATAAAGGATATCTTGAAATTGAATTTAAATCATAATTGTGATACCTCCTCCTTGGATCCAGCCTTCAGGCACAAGTCTGAAGAAAATTGTGTTCAGATAGTGCATCCGATAGTCTTCTGTTTCATTCTTGGGGATAAAACCCAGCTCTCCAGTGCACAATTTAATAAAGTTTTGACAGGTTTTAGGTACGATATCAGAGTAAAGCTTACTATCTCATTTAAAGTAATCTACCTATACCTCGAATAGGAGACTTCCGCAGATTTCCCCTCCTACAGTGATTGCCATGGAAACATATTTTCTCTAACAGATAAGATAAATATGCTTACGTTTCTCTGCATTAAAGTGTCTTTATATTTATCAACAGCAAGCATTTGATAGAAAGAATAGGGTCGGTAGTTATCCAGATGATAACGCACATTTGACCATTTTTGAAGATCGCGATAATCGCCAATGGGTTGACCATCACAAAAGCATAAAACAACGCTTTCAAATGCCCAGTACTCTCCCTTTAGTGCCTAAATATTAAGAAATTTTAAAAATGTCTAACCTTTTTCTTCTTAGCCAAAAAATCGACCCACTTTACCTCAAACATCCCATTAAAGATCGGTGAAGCAAATACATTTGGATTATGGCCGTATAAATCCTATTTCTTCATTAAGAATCAAAATTCATACATTTGCAAGAAAACATGCAGCGTGAAATCGCGACTTTCCAATCAACCCAAAAATCTCCAACTGCATTACACTTTTACTCTTTTGCGAGTACTGACTGTTGACATTTTGGTAAAGTTAAACAAGAGCAAAAACTATAAATCAGATGTCTTAATAAACCTATAAATAGCAAAATAACTGCTATTTGTATTAAAATGTTACAAAGTTATAGATTTACAAATAAAATGTGTCTTAAAAGCAGCTTTAAATGTGTGCATTTACCTAAGACTTCGGGAGGAGAAAGTCGTTGTAAATCACTGCTTTCCTATTTTATCCATCAAAAAAGATGTTGCGTCTTAAGTATTTTGAAACCTTTAGCATAATCTATTATTGATTTATCAGGATTTGGACCCAGTTTTACCGGCTCCCCTTTAAATTCGGATTATTTAATTCGCATGTAATGACATTATTTGTCTAATGTTCTTTAAAACCTAAAGGCATTCAGATTTTTGTAATCGTTATCAATTTTAGAGCAACTCTTTATATTTGAAATAATAGCCTGAATACTAAAATCTTGCAAAAGTTTGGTATTCTCACCTATTACCATAATTTTGATTGACTCCCACAACTTGATTTCAACTGCGATATCTAGGCGGTATTCAGTCATTTTCACTGACTTTTCCTTTGTCAAAAGTTAATTTCCTTTTCTTCCGTGACAATATTTTCCCAAAAAGAATTAATTATTTTTGAACACATTTCCTCTACAAAAATGTAGATCATTTTATTTTGCACAATTTGCAAAGGTGAATTATAATTATCAAAAATCACTGTTTTAAATTGTCTGCGAGGAACTCTTATAAAACATATTTTTTGAAAGGTTTACTGACGTTTTCGAGTTAAGTTTTTGTTTATGTTTTTTAAACACACATCTACTTGCCATTTTTCTTAACTTCAGCATAAATACACTTCCTATTTGGCGATTAAATAGCACCCACTTGACTGTTAACAAAGTGAGTGAAGCTAATTCACTGAGTGATTTGTGTCTGTGACATCCCTATTTCCCATTGCTTGCCATCAGCAGTAGCTCGATAAGCACGATAACTTATTGCCACACAAGGCCACAATTAGTTGGCCGAGGGCAAATTTAAAGTCTTACCCGATAACGCTGTCGTATCTTTGTTCTTGAGTTGTTACGGTCCCTTAAATAACTTGGTCGCAATGGAATGCGAGCTAATAATTATATACTATTTCCTCTTGGTCTCGCAGATTTTAGTACCATCTTTACTTGAAGATAAGGGATTATTAATAATTAGGCAAGTACAGATTTAAATAAACTTCTAGTTTAAATTTTGCATGTACATAACACCAAGTCAGTCATATCAACGTATTAATCAAGTTATTACCAGAATGGGTAACCTTTTTTCTACAAATGTTCCAAGAATTTGATCTTTGTTTTTGATAGGTAGACAATCCTCTACAACCGGGCTATTCCTAATAACGATCAAAATTACTGAGTACATGGCGATTACTTTTTGTGCATTTACGTTACTGTCACATTTATATTTTGTAAATGTGGGCATAACTATGATTGTTTAATTAACAGTAGGAATGCACGGTGATATGAAAGAGGTTACAGAACTGGATAAATACATTGGACTACAGAGAATTGGTAATACTATCAAGAAACTTTTTCGTATAGATATTCGGAAAATATTGCTAAATTTTAATACCAACTTTCTCTAGCATGGATACCTATTAGGAAATGCCATGACATTAATAAGTGGCCTTCTTACTTTTCATGAAACTACGCAGTGATAAAAGCCTGTAGAGTAAAATTTATTGGAGTTTGTGATCAAACGATGTTGGTTTTGCTGATCAAGTGGCGCAATTGGGCCTTTGAGCAAATGAGATTGTGGTCTAACTTGGTATAAATATCATTCACCCAAATAACATTTTCAGTGTTCATATCTAGTTAAGACAATAATATTAAAAAATAATTTAGAGATTAGTTAAGTGATTCGAATCCCTTTTTGAATTTCACGTTGCAGGAAAATAACAAATAAACCTCAAGTACATATGCGCCTGCTTGAGAAGGAATTAAAATTTCGCTAAACACGAGGATTTTTAAAAAATAGACCCTGATTAGCCATTTTTGATATTCTTTTAGAAACCTGATATTTACATTCTTCTCGTTTGATCTGTATTTATCTGTTCTTTGTTTTATGTAATCAAAAGTTTACTTTGTCGCTGCGATATTAAACGCGAATTTTTGTTATGGTATCGTTTGGTCTAGGACCTCAAAACAGGGCCAGGTTTACCTTTAGTTCTGGTACCTTTAGTGAGGTTTGTTTATCACTGTTACATAAGAAAGACTTTTCCTCATCCACTTTCAAAAGATGACTTACTTAAATCGCTGGAGGATGTTGATGAAACAATTGATGGTCTTTACATTGCTCCGAGAACATTAAAGTGTAATTCGAGGTTTGTATTCTCTAAGATTATGTAATTGGTGTTAGATTGCTTACAGCTGTTAATGTTTTACAAGCGTTTAAACATCTACAGTTTATTGATCTGTCGTCCAACATGATTTCTGATATTTCACCCCTTCAAAGACTAACTCTTATCCATGAGCTTGATTGCTCCTCAAATCAAATAACGGATATTCCAGACTGTACCTGGCCTTTTTTGGCAAAACTTGACCTTAGTAGAAATAAAATAGCGAGACTCCCAAGGATGACACATCCTCTTCTCCAGGCTATTTATCTCAACCGTGAGTATCATGATCACTGACGTTAATTTTTTTTAAATTATCTGGTTTCGTAGTGCAGAGTATAGTGTTTTATGTATATGGGGGACTAGTTTATTTCAAAATTCAGTTTTCTTATCTAAATTAACTGGACATAAAAGACAGCTGGGTGAATACATTAAAATGCTAAATGTTAATGCTCGGGCAATAACTTGCATACCAATACTCTATATTACCCGAAGGGAATTGGATTTCTTTTGCGAAATTGAAATTATTCAATGACAAAATTGTGTAGTTGCTTTCTAACACTATATTCCTATTAGCAAACAGTCTTTAAAAACTTAAGAAATTCGACGAAACCGAACCCAAACGCTAATTGGTGTCACGCGATCTAAGTGTATTCTCTTGTGTCGATTTGTGAGCCAATAAATGGCAACTAATAACAGTAACCAATGTAATGGGGAGGAGGCATTAACACCAACCGATCAGCAAACAAGGTTCACTTACTCACCATCGCTGACAGGCAGCTAAAGTTGCATTGGTCATGTGTGTTGCTTTGAGTAGTGTAAATGAAATGTGGTTTCAGAAACTTTTTCGAAATACTGTGATATTTCATCCCATTCTCTGCTTTATATTAAACTACATCGACTAGATTCTACTGATTACTGCCTCTACGTAACAATAGCTTTAATCGTTTGTTTTCCTCTGTGGTGTTTGCTAGTATTGGAGGCCAGTTATAAGTGCTTTTCCAAGCATTCATTTATCTTTTTTTATTATTCGAGATCGGAAGATGTGGCTGGCTTTTATATTAAGCGGGTTTTCTCCTAAGCTGTTAGGTTGTACAATTTCGGTAGTGTCTTATCGAAAGATAGTCGGCTACCTTTATTCCGAAGGCTTTAAATTAATTCATTACTGCCTATTAACTTCATTGCTGACTTGATATAGATAGCCTATGAAGCATTACTTAAAAATCGAAAATGGTAGTTTAGCAGCAATCATTATAATGACTCACGTGGATTAAGTGTTACAAATATAAATTTGTAAGGTGTGTCTTAAAATGTACTCCAAGTTTCATAACCTAATTTTATATCACCACCAAAATAATAAATTTGCACTAAGAAATGCGGACCAGTGATTGCACTAGTATTTTGCCATCAGCATCTTTATTAACATGCTCACATCTTCAGTCTACTTTCAAGCTAAAATCACACAACATCATTTGGTGTTTCATACTATATGACGCAATTCTTCCCTGTATCATGGTAAGTTGGTAAGATTCAAGTATGCGTCTAGTCAAGTAGTAAATCCTTAATTTTATTCAATCAACCTATGAATTGATAGATAGGAAATCTAATCTAGTGGTATTAAACCTCTACAAAATGTACCGGTAGTATCTAGTAACCATATTATAAAAAGCAGTTAAGTGTCGTAGTTGATTCAATATTTTGCGATTACCATATGTTTCTTTACTTGTACATAGCATATATTTGTATAAATTTTGTTATGATGTGTCACGTGAGAAACTAACAAATCGCTAGTGTCTTTTTTTCAACTTCTAAGAGGATTTAATTAGTCATTATTACTGTAACACTCAATTACTTTCAAAGGGAGATGGTCAACGTATTATTTTCATTCCTTAAATATTTTTCTACTTTAGACAATCGAATTTCTAGTCTTGTTGACAAAGATGGTAACTACCTACTTGAGGAGGAAAATTTGCCAAAACTTCATACCCTTGAGCTTCGTAGGAACCAAATTACAGCGAATCTACCTACATTAAACGGTCCTCTGTCAAAAAATGAATCAAATGACGTTCAAAAGTACTTGAAAAAGATTGGTCTTTATCATTCAGGACTGAAGTTTCTGATTCTCGCTGACAATAAAATCAACACAATGGCGTCGGTCTACAAGCCGCCAGGTGACGTTTCAGGAGGTGAGGAGGTCACCCTCAAAGTTAACGAATTTGGATCACGGATGGGATTGGTTCCGAATTTGGTAGTGTTGCATCTTCGAAAGAACGGGATCAGATCCCTTCAGGGTTTTACTAAGGAGGCTTTTGCTTCCTTAAAGTACCTAAATTTAAGGTACCACTGTACTTCAAAAGCGAGAAGCTTTTGTAACTAGGTGTAGCATTATTGTGGTTTTATTTTAGGGAAAACCAGATAACCAATCTGGAGGACATACAACATTTAAGTGAACTTAAAACCCTACAACATCTGGTATTAACAGGTAAAACTTCCCTCTTTTATGTTGTTGGGTCCATTTTTTGAGGAATTTTACAGAACTACTTAAGTAACGAGGTAACTTATAAATACTAGTCACCTAACACTTTGTAAAGGTTCTATTTCGTCTATAATTCCATCCTCTAGTTACCGTTTTAAAGGGAACTTTTAAAAGAAATATAAATGCTTATATTGCTTTGATGTAATTTAACCAGACTTAGTGGTTCTGCAGAAGTCCCGTCATGGGTTTTGAATCACGCTAAGACCGCCTGTTCGTATTGGCCCGATTACGAAGACCGGAGATGACGGTGACGTCTTTAATGGCTCAGCCCTGATGTGTTTATCGTGCCATGTGCTAATAGTTTTGCATTTTTGCAAGCCGCAAACTGAAGGGCATGAACCAGCCAATGTATCAGCATCTGAACAATACGATGTGGGGTAAGAGTGGGAGGGGAGGCATGTGAATGTAACTGGGTGGTCAGGCGTCTCCAAATGAGGGGTGAATGTCTGATGTGGCAGCGACAGGGTTGACGGACAGGAATCGCCCAATTCTCCCTCATTTCTAATATCAGAATAAGAGTAGAGATTATTCACAAGACTCATGCGTTTATAACTGATGTAAGTGATAGACCAATGTAGGGAACCAACTAGAAAATATATTTACTACCAACATCCTAGTTGTGGACAACTAGGTAGAATGGTGGCGCTCATGGTGGTACTTCAGATACTTTATCAGCAGTGGACACTGTGATTGGATTTTAGGGAATTTAAATTTTGTATGTATATTGACGTGTGTATGGGATGAAAATTTGAAAGTTTCAAGCCTACTCGTAAAAGCCCAACTGACCCGTTCCATTTAGCGTGCTCTGGGCAACCCACTGTGATAAGTCGAGTTGTGCTACCCTAAAAGAACCTTTCGCAGTGATGCACCTTAGTGTCCCCAAAGTAAATGCTTTTTAGGCAACACTGATTATCTTTTGAAATTTCTTGATTGTTAAATACGCTTTTTTTGCACAAACATTCCATATGTGTCTTCTTAATTGTTGCCACATAGTGATATGTACCCTTTTTAAATGGATGAACTGGCTTGTAATAAAACTTAGACTAGAATCACATCGTTTCTAGTTTTTTAACACGGGAACTTGTGAACCCTTAGGTCATCCTACATGCATTCTTCTCAAATACACTGCCTATTCCTGTTGCTTGTATTTATCAGACCGTCTCGAAGAAAAGCCTAAAACCTGTGCCGGATAATTCCATATTCCAACACTTTCGCTTGAAGCGTCATATGACGCATGTAGCGCACTTCTTTCCATGCTCTTATTTGGGTGTTCAATTTACCAGTTATCGTAGGTCTGGCAAACATGCCCAGCAAATCAATGTTCTCCATTTGTCAGTGCCAAAAGTTTTGTTCAGATGTCGAAATCAACATTTGAACAGAAATCTTTGCTAAGTTAGAGGTGACTAATTAGGAATATCCAAACTAGACTACGAAATTCTCTCAGTGGACTAAAAGGCATTTAAAAAATTGTTTTCCCATATTTTTTTGAATTCGTTACGGTCAACTGTGGTTGCCATGCATTTGCATGCCTTCAATTATTCAATTCGTGAGTGGTGACTGGATAAATCTCTTTCTGTTGACAAATACTTGCTAACTTTTTCATTTGTAATTGGGCTTCCTAAAATATGTCTTGAATCCACCTCTCCTAAAAGTCAGTAGCAGAATCGATGGTTATTTTCTGCCTGTTAGTCAAGTAATGAAACACCAAAAGCTACTTTGCGTCTCGTTAACGCTGATTCCATACTTATTGAATTTTCGTGCTGATTCACAACCACTGTGTCACTGGAGGTGGATACATTCGGTTTTAGTCTCCTATTCGGGTCAATATATTGTGGCAAGCAAAATTTACAACAGAATTCTGTTACTTTAACCTCTTAAGCCTTTTGAAGGTAAATATGCAAACACAGATCATGAACAAAATTAAAGAGCTTTATTTGCAATTATTTTAGACAACCCAATTGAGAAAATCAAGAATTTCAGGACTGAAGTGCTAGTTCTGAATCTAGGTTTAAGAAGATTGGACAAGAAGGATTTTACAGATGAAGATGTTCGGGAAGCAAAGCATTTAATTGTGGAACGAGCAAAAAAGAATTCCCGTCAGCCCGAACCAAAAAAGAGACAACCAATAGGCAGTCATTTGCGCAAATAAATTTTTGGCACTTAATGCAATTCGCAGTCATGCGAATCAGTAATTGAGGAACGGCGGTTTCTGTAGTGGGCAAAAGATCACATCAACCATTAGCTAGCAAATCATGTTATCTATTTTTAAATAGCGCATTATTTCGCCTGACATGTCACTACTCGTCATCTTTTGGAATCCAATGCCCCAATACCTGGATTTAAGGCTCGGTTAAATGTTTGTTAAACTTGAAAAATACATGGCATTGATAATAAAAAACCAGGATAAATTATAGCTACCTACACACAAGGACAAAAGGTATCATATCTTCCAGGAAGTGTAAGTTTTTTTTGAATGTTCCTCGCAAACATTATTTTTAGTACTTAATGTCAATTTTTCAAAAAAAAATATCTATTTGGTTAATTAAATTGTCAGCAGGAATTCTTGTGGAGCACTTTTAATAGTTAAAATAACTTTAAAACCTGAGGTGCGGTCTGATAACCAATTTTAAGGAGAATGCGCTTGTAAAATACTCGAGCCCTATTATGCGTAAGACTGGTACAACAGATAGGGCTTTATTGACAATTCACATGCCAGAACCAAACGTCAGGCACCGGCGATCCGAGTCCACCACGCTGGCTGCGCACACATTACTAACGGATTTTCAGACTTGTCTGTCTCTGGTTGGCTTTTTATTTTCCTCGCGTTCCGTTGGAAGTCAAAGGGACAGAGGAATGGCTAAGGCCAGCATGATCCACTATGTCTGCGCCCTAAAAATTCGCTATACGCTCATGAGGTATATCGTCTACTATTCGCTTGGGCCACCATCCTGCCAGATGTGGGGTCCGGGGAGTGTCGAACAAGATATTTTTTTAATTATTAACAATGCAGGAAATCATTCCAGAAGCTTAGGGCAGCTTCACTCCTGAGAGGGAGGCAGTGTGGTGTGGCGTCGGATTGGGGCGCAGACATGTTGGACCACA